AAAAACATTACCTTACTACTGTAATTTCATGAATGTACTGTGTGTGACATTGTGAATCGTGTTCCGAACCAAAGTGTAAACACCCTATGGGATTTGAAAAAGCGAAGTCTTTGTAAGTTATATCCCATAATAAAAATTTGAATTTGAATTTGAATTTGAATTTAGTTCCTAGTGAAAAGGTTCACTCATAACCGGTCTCGTAAACGGATGGCGAGAACAGTTCATCTCGCCTTACCTCTGCGATTTGCCTAATTCCGTTCCGCATGTGAGGCACGTGTACTGAACCTGATCTACCCACGTGATCGATAATTCACACTGTGGACTACACACACGTGATCTCATCTTGTCAGAGTTTGTCCACTCCATTCCAACCTTGGGACATACTGTCGTTTTGATATGATATGAAATCTCCAACCCACGCAATACTTGTGTACTCTTACATGGAACGGAATCGCCGTCACACCTGTCAGATCCACGTGACATTTGTCGATACTGTTTTTCTCACCAGAGGATATCGGGGACGGTGCGTAGTGAGTTACGTATCAGACGCAAAGTTTAAAATATCCCACTCAAGAACATCTGTTCAGCATAAAAACTATGATAACGGCACTATTGCAGTGTGAGGCCCGATGAACCTAAGAAATTAGTTTAACGAGACCGGTTGATTGTTCGATTCCCTCTTTCCCTGTTTTGTGATTTGCATGTAACACGGACGAGCATCCACCACTACCATCACTACCACCAACAATAACAACAAAACCAACATCAGCAGAATGAGAGTTCTATGCCGGGCTATCGCGATCGAAAACAAAGACAGAATTCTTAGTGTATGTAAAAATATTCAGTAGTGGATCAACCTAATGTACCTTTTGACCTTGTGCTGCGGTTTTGGTTCCTGTCTTCTGGTTAGTAATCTGAGAGGTGAACTAAAGAGAAGAAAAAATGGAGACAGAAATTTGTGAAATAATTAAAATGAAACCTGATTATTCGAGTGCAACGAACAAATACGCCCGGCATCCATCACTCTTCAGGATACTTGGTAAAACAATTTCGTGTATTTTCACGAGAACACAAGGAAACATCATAATCATCATGATGTGTCGAATTTCACTGTTTCACGATAATCTCATCAACTGTGTACATACATTCAGAGTATGTTTGGTTAAGAGTGACAGGATTGGGGTCAGGCGAATACACATGGCAAAGATAAATCAATCAACACGAAGGACAAAGGTCACTCATTCGAACCCAATTGGGCATAGGATCAGGAAACGGAATCATTGCAAGGGCGAAGACAGTGGCACTCATCAGGGCAGAACGACGCTGGCCACGTGTTCAGTGCAGTGACTACGCTTCCTACCTACCCCTTTGCCCAATGCGTTTAATTGATCTCTCCTCATATATCTGTGTTTGCTTGTCCCCAAACTGGTCACTCTTTTAACCAAATTTGATCAGGGTCTATGTACACAACTGATGAGATTACCGCGAAATAGTTTGAATTCAACAAATGCTATGGTCTTTCTCTCATAAAGATGTTAAAGGGAGCTGGTTGTATGAAACTTTTTGTATCAAGTCTGTTGATTTAGACCAGCCCCACCCCTTTCGAGAATTTCAAACGGAGGTTGTGAGCTGCTGCAGCAAGTCTACGGTTAGAAAAGTTGTATACGAACGACTGCGTTCCGCTCCAAGTGGCGGACAACAGAACGGCCGCTTAGGTGGTTGTTTACCCGATAGTAGTTGGTATGGCTCGGCGAAGTAAGCCACCACGGAAGACCGACGAGGATGTGTAAGATCTTGTCTAGTTTTCTTTTGTGCTGACAAACAAACTGTATCCGTGACTAACAGCCACAATTTCTCATGGTGTCGTACAACGTGCAAATCTGGTTCGCCAATAAAGAAGGCCTTCTGTGACCCTCCCGACAGCATCACTTGCTTGTGTCACATTCCCGGAGAACGAGATCAAAATCTATTGGACGTTTCACTTTGAAATTTTTTACCAACATCTTCCGCGGTTTTCTCACAACGACGTATCCTCCTGTGAGGTGAAGCTACTCGATGTTAAGTAAATAAAAAGCCTGATTGTGCAAGACTTCTAGTCTGGATAGAGGGCACAGTTTGTTACAGTTCTGTTACGTTTTCCTAGCGATTGGAACTTTTCTTCGCCATGGAATGGATCCGGTGTTAATTCATGGATCGCCAGAGTTTCACTTCCTTTTCTTACTCCTACAGGTGTCATCCTTTATCTTCTCCTGTCTGGTCACCCACCGTTTTGGGATAAGGATGAGGAGATGCTGAAAGCCAAAATCATTCGAGGAGACTATCGAGTAAGTTGCTTTTGAGTGTGACCGAATGTGTTTGTGTACAAAGTTGGGAATATTTTACTCCTCAGGCCTCATTCATGAATCTTTATCCGTCCGTTTGGAATCGGACGTTCCGCTCTAATCAAAAACGATAAAGCCGGTATTAACAAGTTCGTTAGATGTATTTGTATTCCATAAAGTTGTTTTCCGTGTGCGTATGCCTGAGATTTGTTCGAAAGTGGATATTTTCGCTGCGTCCAACGGGTCCTCACAGCATTGTGAATAAATACAACAAGTTTTATTGGTTCGATCGAATAGATGCTGCTCATCATGAACACGCACTGTGGGGGCTACTACTGATTAAAGATGAGTGAATGATAGTCATATAATGTGTTGTTTCAGAAGGGTGCATAAATCACAACCGTTAGACCGGGTCAAGTTTCATTTTCAGTTTTTACAACCATTAACCATGCACTTTCGTGCGCCGGTTTTGGTTGTTGTTTTTTGGTTGCCCATTTGGATAAAAGAGCGCAGTGAAGATTGGGATGTCGAAGCAAATTCAAGCGGAAGATAGGGAATACATATAGA